CCTTTGCCCGGACTAAGTACGTCCAGCTTGTGAGATGATGGCTCAAGCAGGCCTGAACAGCAGGAACGCTGCTTGTGTGGTGTAAGATCGAGATGATTTGCGCAACTCGACCGACACCCGGACGCGCCTCGGCCTCCATTGCCGACCGCAGCAATCACTCTCCGCAAATCATCGCATCATGGACACTTCGCCCCCTCATGAAACATATCCGTTCTCTTCCCAAACACCCGTGTAATCTATCAATGTGATAACAAAACCACCCTTCCAATAGCCTGCCGGGATCCCAAAGGTTGCCCAAACTGTTTCCGGCAGACTTGACGGGTTTCTATTTCAGAGAGAGTGAGAGAGAGAGGGTGAAAGGACTCTTTTTTTTCAAAACCCACCGTCTTGGCCCTACCTTCCTCCTTGGCGGACCATCACCGACGCGCCCTTTTTTTTCCTTTTTTTTTTTTTTTTTTTTTTTTTTTTTTTTTCTCTTCGTCATGTGCTACACCAGTACTTGCTCTCAGTCCACAAGTCTCATCGAATCTTGACTTTGCGGGGTGGTCGGCCCACCAAACATGCCCTGAACACTAATGTTGTACACTCCGGCGCTATCGCTTCATCTGCGACTTCATGAGTCGTACTGTCTCTTATCTCTACGTTGTGAATTTCGCAGTTGAAACTATCCGCTCAACTCTGCCTGTCAACTGTGCAATTGTCAAGCCTCAAGATTCAGTTTGCATCATATTGCATTTCATCTCAGACCGTTCGGGAACCCCGCGCAGTCAATAGGCGCCCCAGAAACCGGAACTCTAGAAGGAAATGTGTGTGTATCATGTAAACAACACTGGGATGCCCAGACTGACCACATTCTGCCGCTTTTTCAAGTGCCCGCTAAATGAGACTTTCGTACTTATCCAATCCGCTCTTTGGCTGCTGCGACTGTTGTTGTTGCTGCTGCTGCTGAAAGCCGGACATGCTGTTCATGCTCATGTTGTTCATCATGCTGTTCATGTTGCCGCCCGACGCCATTCCCATACTGCCCATGTTCATTCCAGGCCGCGACCCCATAGTGTTCATGTTGTTCATACCGCTCATAGTGCTCATCGACTGTTGACCCATCATGCCCATGCCGGTGTTAGTTGCAGGCTTGTTGAATGCACTCATGCCTGATTGTGTCGGCGTGTGACTGGGCGGCGGTGGTAGGCTAAACCCGGATGAGCCGGATGAGCCCATTGAATTCTTGCCTGGCGGTGGTGGCAAGGAAAATGAAGAGGACTGCGACAAGCCCGGCCTCTGCCCGCCAAGCGACAAGTTGGACATGGATGAGTTAATTCCGCCAAAAGCGGAGCTCGGAGGTGGCGACATGGAATTTCCGGCCGAGAAGCCCGGAGTTGACGCCGCCGACGACGACGACCATGGGTTGGAAGTTGCAGTGGCCGCTGTAGACCAGTTGATTGAAGAACTTGTCTGAGTTTGTGGTTGTGCTGGTGTTTGAGCTGTTGGTTGCAGAGGCTTTGAGAACTGAGTCGATGTCGGAGTCATAGCTTGGAACCCACCCAAGTCAGGCGTCACAGTACGGAAACCTGGCGCTGGCTTTGACGCTCCCAATTGCGACGTTGACGGCGCATTTGTTTGGGTCGGACTCGGAGTTGACCATGAGAACGCCGGAGCATTCGGAGTTGCGGATCTGGATCCGCCAACGGGCGAGGTAACTCTGGCTGGCGCAGGCGCATCGTCCCAGCTAGGGAAGGCTTCCGACGTAGATGTTCGTGTTGCTTTGCCTTTGACTAGACTCTCGAAATCGTCATCTGTGCCACCGTTGGATTGATCAAACCCAGTTCCGCTCACGCCGCCGAAGCCCAGGAAGTCGTCATTCGGAGCAGCTGTGCTGCTGCCGTTGGTTCCGGATAGCTCTTGCAGCTTCTTGGTTTGCTCATCCTCAACTCGTCTGGATAGCTTCTTAATAAGGTCCATGAAGGTCTGGAATTGCTTTAGATTAAGCAAAGGCCCAAGACTCATATGCCACAAAATTGGGAGAATGTCCATTGCTACGAAGTCAGCATCGGCAGCCTCGCCCACAACATGCAAGACGCTCAGAGCCGCCATCATTACAGCAGGCTCCTTTGTCTTGATGGCCTTGACCAAGGGGACAATCTTCTCTTGCATGGTGTATTTGTCCAACATGCTCGATGATGCAGAGGGCTTCTTCTTCGCACCGAAGGCATCAAGACCGTCATCTTGGCCATCCGGTGTTCCGCCGCATAGCACAACGAAAGCTTGGCAACCCCGCACCTTAATGGCAAGACTGCTGGTCTTACTAAAGACCGCCGCAATCACGGGGAAGAGCTCGTTCTTGATGGTGCTAAAGTCAAGGACTGGTAGAATAGAGGGGAGTCCTCTCAGAGCAGCGTCAACAACAGCGGGAGTTGGCGCTTCAATTGCTGCGTACACCACAGGTAATATATCTTCACAGGAGTTAGCTGACGTCCATAATTAAGGGAGGTTCTACCCGGAAATCTTTACCGTCCGTAAACTCCTTGCCGTTACAGTTGTTGCAGATAGTTGACATGTGCTCCAGGACAACCATCAAACCGGCGTCTTTGGTGGGGTCTCTCTCTGGTGCTTGATCCTTCTTCGGAGGAGGAGCAAACGTGTCCTTGAGGCTTGGTCGAACCTTCTCCGCAAATACTCGTCTCGCTGATGGCAGCAAGTCGACGATGGTGAAGACATTCTGAAGAATTAGGGCGATGAGATCCTTGTCCTTCATTTCTTCAAGAAGCGCGGGCATTAACTTCTTCTCCATGACCGTCTTTGGGAAGGACGGCAGAACCTTGACGAGTCCGCGCATGAACTGAGCCTTTTCATTGGGTGTCTTTGCCGGGAAAGCATCGAGGAAGCGAATTGTGGACACAAGCACGTTGTTGAAGTATTCGCTCTCTTGAAATTCCCTGGCTGTCAACCGTTGAGCCGGCCGACGGGTGATAAGGCGTGGCAGGACGTGAGTTGACAACTCTTTTGGTAACGGTCGAGATGATAAGAACTGGTTCGAAGTAGATGGAACCGTTGATGAGGAGGTAAATGTCCTCTTATAAGTAGATAGACTGCCATGGGCTTCGATGGGTGACTTGTGTGGTGAGTTATACAGAGACACAGCCAGAAGACCCAACGAGAACATATCGGCAAAAGTTGTAAAGTTGTTATCAAGAACGAAATCAGGAGAAGTGTAGTCGAGGTTCAACTGCACAAAGCGAGGCAGTCGAGGGTCCGGGTTGAGTATCTCCGAGAGGCTGATGGGTTGGAATGATGTCGGCTTGTTTGACCCCTCGGAAGGGCCGCAAAAGGCCAAACCGCTGATTTTCCAATCCGACTGTTCCGGGTTAGCTGAGATCAGTACGATGAATGCCTTTGCTATGAGCTGGCAGGGGTTGACTAACCTTGGAATTCACAAGAATCGCATCTGGAGTAAGGTTTCCATGGACTAAACCCGCATTCTCATGCAGGAACTCCAGAGCTTTGCTGATCTGGAGCAGTCCCTTCTGTATTTCCAATTCGTCAATCTCCAATTCGCGCCGGCGGCGCACGCCGTCCGAGTCTTCCGTGACATATCGACTCGACCGACCGCCTACCCCACCACTTCGCTCCTGGTCGTCCTTGTCTTGCAACAAGCTCGCCAGCGAAGCCGTGACAGCTTCCGTGACGAATTGCAGCCCGCCACCCCTCGTCTCCTCCACGGGCTCAACGAGCTCGAGGATGCTCGGGTGGCGCAGCTTAGCCAAGCTTGATGCCTCCTTCTTCAGCCTCTCTACGACCTCTTCCGTCGCCCGCTTGAAAGCCGACGCGCCGGAACGGCCCAAGCTATTGCCATGACTGTCGAGGCCTTTCTTGTCGAAGACGAATACGCTGTAGGGCTTCCCGGTCGACTTCTTCTTGCAGTCATAAATCTTCCAGGGGCCGGCGGTGGACGTCTGGGTGGAAGAGATGGAGTAGTTCGCAGTAATATTTGTCGATGATATCGACTTGAGCGCCGAGGAGAACATAATGGCGTGTCTGGGAGTTCGTTCGTTAGGAAATCGTTCGTCTTGGTCGTCGTCAAGGCGGAGGAGACAGGGCTCGAGGAGACTCGATCGTCATGACGGACAGGGTACGAATTGGGCGTGTTTGCGCCAAGCTGGGACCCGGCTGTCAACTTCTCGCGCGCGCGCAGGAGGAGGTGGCCTCTTTGTCTTGGACGGTGACGCAGGGCGAGGGCTGTCGTCGCAATTCCGGCTATATCGTTGGAATTCAATCGAGGCTCGATTGTGCGTCGATTCGAAATTCAAAGACAGGTGGTTGCGCAATTTGGCAAGTTGGCTCAAGCTGATGTTCAGCCGCGTCGACTTCCACGTCGCTGATAGGCAAGAGCGTCCCAAATGCAATCAGCAAGATATCCATGTTTTAGCGATGATCCCACATAAGGTAGGTAGGTACTACGGCAGGCACCCCTGCAGCTCTGGGTTGGTGCTGTCACAGTGTGGTCTGCCCACTTTTGCTGGTCGCAGCTTAGGTGCCCCCAAACTCCTTAGGGGGGGTTAAAACTGTCAATGAAGCCACCAGAGGGGGTGGCTAGGGGGCCAATTATAGCTACCTCACCTTATGGGGGCTGACCTAAGCTTGCAGTCGCAGCACTGGACCTGAAGCTGCAGCGCGACGGGTCCGGCTCCGGGGACCCTGAATGATTGACGATGGAAAGCGACGGCTTTGCAACAGACCCAAGTCCGATAACGCTCCGATGGGCCTTCTGACTCCTCCGCCTCCACGCTATCTTCAAATTGCGCCCGACTCTCTGCTTTTACCACGCTCTGGATTGGTCAATTGGTTCCGCCGTTGACCGCAATTGACATATTCCAGCTTTGTTTTCTAGAAAGAGTCACTGTCTTTTGTCTATTTAACTGCTTTGTCCCGCGCAATCTCTTTGGTTATACAAACTCAAAAACTCCTGTTTTTTTCTTGTATACCCACAAACAGCCGTCGCCATGATGCGACAACTTTTCCCGCGCGCCTCCCGCGCCGCCGGTGTCCTCAGATTATCACAGACTTCCCCCAGACTAGCAGCTGCGGCATGGCAGTCAACAAGACTCTACAGCGTCAAGCCCGAGGCCGCTTCCGCGGCCAAGCCCGTCGGCATCGACGCCTCCAAGCTCACCATTGAGAAGACCAAGAACCCGGGAACGCTGGGCAAGCCGGAGGAGCTCGTCTTCGGCCGCAAGTTCACTGGTCAGACCATCTGTGACGCCTTATGATAGACCGCAATTGCTGACCGCGTGCCGCAGACCACATGCTCACCATCGAGTGGAACCAAGAAACGGGATGGCTCGACCCCAAGATCGTCCCCTACCAGAACCTCTCTCTCGACCCCGCGACCTGCGTCTTCCACTACGCTTTCGAGTGTTTCGAGGGCATGAAGGCTTACAAGGATAAGAGCGGTCAGATCAGACTCTTCCGCCCTGACAAGAACATGGCCCGCCTCAACAAGTCCGCCGCCCGTATCGCTCTGCCCACCTTCGAGCCTACCACCATGATCGAGCTCATCTCCAAGTTCGCCAACCTCGAGAAGGACTTCATCCCGGATCAGAGGGGCTACTCGCTGTACCTGCGCCCGACCATGATCGGTACCCAAAAGACCCTCGGCGTTGGTCCTCCGGGCTCTGCCCTGCTCTACGTCATCGCATCCCCCGTTGGCCCCTACTACCCCACCGGCTTCAAGGCCGTTTCTCTTGAGGCCACCGACTACGCCGTCCGCGCCTGGCCCGGCGGTGTCGGCGACAAGAAGCTCGGCGCCAACTACGCTCCCTGCATTGTTCCCCAGCTCGAGGCTGCCAGCCGCGGTCACCAGCAGAACCTGTGGCTCTTCGGCGAGGAGGAGTACGTCACCGAGGTCGGCACCATGAACATGTTCGCCGCCATCAAGAACAAGGAGACCGGCCAGAAGGAGCTCGTCACCGCGCCCCTCGACGGCACCATCCTCGAGGGTGTCACCCGTGACTCCGTTCTTGCTCTTGCCCGCGAGAGGCTCGTGCCCGAGGGCTGGATGGTTTCTGAGCGCAAGTACACCATGAAGGAGCTCGAGGAGGCGTCCAACGAGGGACGTCTCATCGAGGCCTTTGGTGCTGGAACCGCTGCCATTGTCAGCCCCATCCGCACCATTGCCTGGAAGGGCAAGTCCATCAACTGCGGCCTGACTGAGGCCGAGGAGTCTGGCGAGATTGCCCTGAGAATGAAGGGCTGGATGGAGGCCAGACAGTACGGTGATGAGGAGCACGAGTGGAGCTATGTTGCTCCCGCGTAAGCATTGGCCAGCAATGAATTGTAGATTTGTACATATCCAAAAAGGAAAGCGTGTGCAATAGAACCTGAGAAGCTTCAAACGTTATTTGTCATTCGGTAGTGATTTGTTCCACTTGACATAGGTCCTGGCAAAGTGAGGCAGTCTGTCGAGATCGAACACGGCCTTAACGCTGCTAAGAGCAGTTGAATGCCCATACTTGGCCAGTCCAGAGCCGCAGGAGTGGTTTAACCAGCACCGACAATGAGTCAACGTAGGTGGAAGCTCCGTTGAGCTTCGACGTCATTGGAAGACAGAGATATGGCTGCCGCCTCATCAACTCGACTCATGAACGACCATAAATGAGATCTAAGCATTCGGCAGCGCGCGAAAGTCTTCGTAGAGATGTAAAAAAAGGAAACTAGTTCAAGGTCGGTCATATACACTTTTTGTCGGAAACAAGAGACTTTCGCCTGTACGGTAGACGAAGCTTCATTGTTCCGCCAAATTCTCTCCTGTCTTGGTCTTTCCCCTCTCCTCTCCAATCCTCGCGGCTCGGGTTCTTTGCTTCCGTCACGCCATTTCTCTCCTTTCTATAGTTCTCTTCCCCTTCGCTGGGCCAAGAGCTTTTTTGGCTTCCAAAGTCAAAACAGAAAAAAGTTCGGGTTTCGTCGAATATGTGTAATTTGTGCGCGTTGTTACATGAATCCGCTCCTCACTTCTCGGGGTCCGGCAGGATGCCCTCCTTTTCTAATCTCCTTCTGGCCTCCTCGAGGGCCCACGTGTCGAGCCTATCGTTCAATCAACGTTAGCCACGGTCGATATCGAAATTGCCTCAATGCTGGCGATTGTATGCGAAGCCCGTCGGCGTAGCTTTGCAACAGGAAAAGAGCCCGATATTGGGTATCTCGTGGTGTATGCCGCCTTTCTTCGAGGTGCGGGGGGACGAGCTGCACTCACGAGGTATCAGGCTTGAAGGCGAGAACAACGCCGGTGGCGATGATGCCTCCGCAGAAGAGGGTGTAGAAGGGAAGCTCCCAGCCCTCCTTTTCGTACTTCTCACCGGGCTTGACGCCCCAGAGCCAGCCGGACGGGGGATCGAAGTCGGAGCCGCCACCGGCACGGCGGGCGGTCACGGAGAAGGCCCTCGTGGAAGGAGCGGTGGTCTTGATGGCGCGGGCGGCGCGGATGGCCGCGGTCGGACGAATCGCCGGCATCGTCGGGGTCTTTCGTTTGCGTCTCGAGGGGGCGAGCGTCCCGATTGACGTGTTTCGGTGATGGGTTGGGCGGGGTTTGAGAGGAGAGATTTCGCGGGCGCGGTGGGCGGAGTTTGCGTCGTTGCTCACACAGGTGAGGGAGGTTGTTGGACTGGAGTTGGATTCTCGGGTCCACGTCGGGATGGTTAGTCAGCAAAAGTCACGTGTGAACGATCGAGATACCGACTCCACCCGACCAGTTACGGAAATGGCACTCCGAAGAGTACAAGACGGTTACCTCTTTTGTTGAGGAACAGGAAGATCTCTAAAAAGTGACGAAAGCGATTCGGGAGTTGTGCGACACGTGTTGCTTAGATCCGGAGTTGTGTCGGCAGGTTGCGTCTGAGGCAGAGTTTCCAAGACCTGCGCTGCATCGCTGATTGATTGGTCTTCGCAGAGCCGAAGATGCGACAACTCCCTCGGCCTCGGTATGTACACCGGACCCCGTCTTACCCAAAAATCGTCTCCCCTTTCTATTTCTCGTATCACTAGAGGGCACAAACAGCTGCGATGACAAAGATTTACGCGGAGGTACCTGATACCTGCAATAGCCTATGAAATGCTACGCGTCGCCAATAATGACACCCAACGCCTTACATCTCGTAATCCTAAAGTTATCATTGGATCCCAATACCAATGCCGTTTACTCCAATCCATGCATATCTCAGTAACCGCCGTTTGTCATGTCATTCAGAATATCCCTGAGAATGACTTTATCCTTCATAAGCACTTTCTCTCCAATCCTTGCCCTCTTTGGCTCAGGTCGCCGGTTCTCCTTATCGACACCCAATCCCAACTTCGGGATCTTTCTTGGACTGATGCCCTTTCTTGGGCTCGTACTCTTCTTCGTCTTCAGAGGCGAGACGCCGCTGGCGGTCAGCTGTGTCGGCGTATCGTCAAAAAAGTGATTCTCCAAAGCATCGGCAGGTAGGTCGTAAATCCAGTCTCTCTCCTCCATCAAACTGATGAACTTGCTGAGCATCTCTTCTTTTCCGCTGCCCTTCAACGTGCTCTTACTTCCGACGACGAGAAGCTTGGTTTTGGCGCGAGTGAAGGCCACGTTGATGCGGCGCCAGTCCTTCAGCAAGTCGCCGATGCTGCAGCTATCGTTGCTGCGGACGAGGGACAGAATGACGACGTCCTTATCCCTGCCTTGGAATCGATCTGCAGTGTGCATTTCCACGCCGACATGGGCGCGAAGACCATGCTTGAGCAAGGAAAGTTGTGAACGATAGTGTGTCATGACTCCGATCTCTCCATCAGGCACTCCGACGGTGAGTAGACCCTCAACTAGTTGCGTAACTATGCGTGCCTCGGCCGGGTTGACAATTCGATTTCCTTTCGCCTCCTCACGGGTCAGGGGCTGAAGCGTGTCGGTGTTGACAAACTTCACCCGGGTTTCACCATCAAGCAGGTCACGAAGCCAGCAGCAGCTTTGCGCCATGGATGTGCAAAATGACTTCGGAGTGCCTGGGCGAAGTATGGTCGATGAGTCGTAGTGAAGCTGTTTCAGCGCGCTCATGTTTGGCACGTCAAGCTTCTTGAATCGTAGCTGCTCCGTGCCGCATCGCAAGCGCCCCTTGTAAATGAGGGTGTTGCTAAGGGTCATGATGTCTTCGCACATACGATACTGGTGTTCCAGATTGACCACCGAGTCGGGGTGTGTATCTGAGAGAAGCTTGAACAAGCTGACATCAAGACCGCCTTCGCGTGCCTCCTCATTTTGGACGAGAGGCGGAAGCTGATTGTGATCTCCAACAAGGACGAAAGTCTTTGCCATTCGGATCGGCCCAAGACAGATGGGTAGCGTGATCTGAGATGCTTCGTCAACTATGCAGTAGTCGAATGTCCGTTCGTTGAAGAGCGGATGTCCAATACCGAGGCAGGTCGTTGCGACAATTGGCGTGTCGTGCCATGCTGCCTTGATTTCATCGAAAGAGTTCATCGGTTGGCCGGCCAGAATCGCAAACTGCTGCACATCGGGGTGGACTTTGGCGGGGGCGCCGAGACGCAGGATCGGCGTTTTGTCGTCCTTGAGCTTGAGAAGAATGTTGTCGACAGCGGTATGAGTGTACGAGGTGAGCAGCACACTCTTTCCCTGGGATGTGAGGGCTCGGATGATGTGAGCAATCGTCGTTGTTTTGCCTGTACCAGGCATGCCGAGCACCAACGCATAGTCTTGAGCACTCATGACTTTTTCAATTGCCTTGCGTTGATCCACATTCAGGGACTCTTGGTCAGCGATAGTATACTGCGTGGGTGCTGACTTGAATCTCGGCGGAATAAGGTCGACAACAAGCCGGCGGATTTCTCGAGAGCCGAAAACACCTTCCGCCATGGTTTGTACGAGGTTGTTTCGCACGACCGCCATGCCGTTGCTGAATTCGTCTTTGTCAAGTCGATAGCGGATGGGTGCTTGCTGGATCTTTCCCTGGGCGTCGTCTTGGGTGGAGCCTTCAGGGACAACCTCCATGATACTGGCAAAGACTTGGTTGTTGGATTCGTCAAAGCCCGGTTGACGGATTCGCGCGTTGTGCAGCCGTCGATCGACGGCCACGCTAATTCTCTGCTTGCGGACAGCGGTAACGTAGCCCAGCGCAAGCGCAAAATGTCCCTGTTCATCGGAGACGACGATGGGCTCACCTACGGCAAGCTGAGACTCCAGGAAAGAATGGCCAGGGCTTGGCACTCGCTTGATGAAGGTGTAGTTAAAACGGTTGATCTTTGAAGTTCCCTGGTCTTCAGACCATGAGCCTTCCTCAATGATGACATCCGAGAAACATCTTCCCACCTTCTCTCGCTCCTGACTGACCATCGTCCACAACTCTCTCTTCAGCTTCTGCGTCTCCTTCTCCTCCTTCGTCAAGAGATTCTCCCATTTGAGAAAGAAATTCTGATGCTTGGGTGTAAGATGTTTCACTACCTCGTCGAACTGCACATCCATTCCGCTTGTTTCTCCGTCACCGTCATCTGCAAGCTTGTGATAGATGAAGCACGGAGCCTTGGCGTAGCATTTTCCGCACATGTTCTTACTCCTTTTCATCGGCGGCAGCTGAACACTGCGTTCTCGAATATGACATGCTAGCTGGTTTCTTTGCATAATCATGTGCCGTAGTTCGTGACGAATGGTAGGAATGCGCATCGTCTGGGATGTCTCCATATAGTAAAGGATACCATAGACGATTTCTAGATCATAGCGGTCTGATAGGAGCAAGTTGTACAGAGCTGTTTGCGCCATGTGGTTGGCGTTAGCATGCTTGCCAGTCTTGACCTCGAATGGTACGGTCAAGGTCTTGAGATCTTTGCCGTCTTTCATCGTGACTTGAACAGTCGCATCGATGTTTCCTTTCAGGCCGTACATGGGTGACCAGACATGCTCCTCAACATCAAGCAGCTTGCTGACACACATGTTGGCTTTTTTGCCATTGCGATCCTGTACGACAGCATCGAGCTACTCTCTGTTAGCGACTAAGGCAAGAACCATCTGAGAACGAATCACTTGCCTTGGGCTGAGAGGAGACAAAGGCCGAAGCCCAACAACTCAACTCAGTCATCTTGGACTGCAGGTGCTCCCTGGCAATACTCGTGCTGACCTTGATCTTGTACAGGTCCTCTACATGTTTCTCGATGACTTTGTCGATAATTGTGCTGAGGAACCGGAGATCCCACTTGTTCGCCATCAGGGCTTCTTGGAAGATCTCGTGGAGCATGGTGCCGTAGACGAGAGGAGCAGTTGCTTCACTAGTGGCTTTGACGCGGTCTTGCAAG